CTGTGCAGCATTGTTAACAACCATGTCACTCATTTCACAACTGCTTCTCTTCAACATGGTATAAGATAGGGCAAAAAACGTAAAATGTGAGGACAGTCGTAAATTCAAGGACTGGTCAAAAGTGCGAGGACCAGTCAAAAATAACTTTTTCAGCCCTCTGAGTAGTCCCTGTGCACAAAAGGACTACCCAGAGGGCTGAAAAATGTGATTTCTGACAGGTTCTCGCACTTTTGACCGGTCTTCGCACTTATGACTGGTCATCATTTATGCCCATTGTAGCATTCTTAACAACCATGTCACTCATTTCACAACTGCTTCTCTTCACCATGGTGACAAGATAGGGCAAAAACGTAAAATGTGAGGACAGTCAAAAGTGCAAGGACCAGTCAGAAATAACTTTTTCAGCCCTCTGAGTAGTCCATATGCATAAAAGGATACAGCAATAGAGAGGGATGAAGGAAGGGAAGGGAAATTAGAGTAGGAGTGAGGGTAAGAGAGGGAGGAAGAGAGGAGGAGAAGGAGAAAGGAAGAGGAAGTAGGGAGGAGAAGAAGAGGGGGAGGAAGAGAAAGTAAGAAGGAAAGAAAAGAAAGAGGTGGTAGGTTTGAGGAGAAAGATTGCTGTACAATAAAAAAGATGAAAGGGAAGAAAGCCAACCCCAAACAAATATAAAGATATTAAGATAAAGAATGAATTGTTAAACTTTAAAGAATAAAAGAGAACAAATAGGAATAAATAGCAATAATTAGAAACAGAGATACAAACAAAGAACGTATTTTCTTTGAACAGAGTATTTGGCCGGTCCACAAATTTAAACAGTTGTAGGAGGTTAGCACCCACCCCTTTCCTAGAAGAATGAAATATTTTGGGAAATATTAAAAAGGCAGAATATTATATTTCCCTGGATGAGAAATGGAGAAGCATATTTTACAGACAAAGCAGCTCCCACCTTCCTGCCCTCCACCCTTTGTTAATGGGCCAGAGGCAGAAAGTCAATCCTTTGTCAAAGGACATTTGCAACACAATAGCAACAGAAACTAACACAATGGGCCCCATCAAGCCATGTGATCCTGTCCACCATTAAAACATCTTTCCAAGTAGTCTCCATGTTTCCAGTGTCTTTTTCACCACTTGGAGCAGAACCCAGAAGGATATTTCTTCCAACACAGTATTTAGTCGTTTCAATTAAATTTACAATTTCTATATTTCCTTTTTACCATATTTATTCCTCATCTATTTTTTTAAAAAAAACAATATTACCCTTCATCCTCATCTCTAATCTTAATCAAATTCAATTTTTCCCTTCTATTCTATATTATACCCCTTCCCATTGTCATCTATTTTTATATCCATCCTCACATTGGTTAATTATGTAATACAGTTGTTTAATACAAATTCAACATTTTAATATAAATCAATTAGTTATATAACTTTTTTTGTATATTAATCAATATGAACTTGAATATTCCAATTATTTCCATGCAATCCAATTTCTTACAAATCAATTAATTATATTTACCAATAATAATAAACCAAATAATTTCCCCCATATATTCCTCCAAACCACAACTTAACCATTTCTGCTTTCAACACAATATACAATTAATAATATCTCAATTATTACAATTCCCTAGTTAAATAGAGCTTTTTTTCTTTTGTCTTTTAAAATCTTGAACCTCCTCTTGCCCTCAATTTCCCATTGTTTGCAGTTTTGTACCTACCTTTTTTGGTGAGGAAAAAGAAATCTCTCTGCCTCATTTTGTCACTTTGCAACAAAGACCCTGCTTTCGCTTTCGCTTTTCAGCATAGCTAGGGGGAAAAAAATTTGCTCCAGAAATTTACCTCTTTGCAGCTAGCTCTTTGAAGCCCCGCGGCAAGAATTTAAAGTTTTTTTTCCCTCTAGCCATCAGCTGGGACTCCGGAGGCAGCAATAGATTGGGAGTGGGCGGGGTAAGCGAACGGCGAACGGAACAGAAGCAGAGGGTGAGGGTGAGTGAAGGCATGGGGGGGGCGGCGAGAGAAGGCTTTGGTGACCCCTGTGAAATGGCCGTTCGACCCCCAAAGGGGTCATGACCCCCAAGTTGAGAACCGCTGGATTATGGCAAGTTTCAAATGAATTTTAAAAATGGCTATATTGGTTTTGGGTTAGAAGCATAGCAGAGCTGGCAGGAGAGATGAAAAACTATAGTAATGCAGGGTTTTAAAATCAGTAACAATGATATTTTGTATACTTAAAGCAGTGGTGGGTTGCCCCCAGTTAGTACCGGTTTATAGAACCGGTAGTAAAACTGGTGGGAGGCTCCGCCCACCGACCCTGACATCATCAAAACATTTCTGCGCATGTGCAGAAGCACACCTGCACAAGCAAAGCAAGTGCGCACCTGCAGCCCCACTGCGAACTGGTAGTAAAGGTAAATAGAACCCACCCCTGACTTAAAGGTATCTACCTGTTAAATCTCATGTTATTAGGACTAGAATTCACAGTCTCCCAGTTCCTTGACTGGCACTTTAAACCACTTTAAAGCAGAAAACCTGATTCTTATCATTACAGAACCATTACATCCCCAAAACCTGTCTTTCCCTTTCTTCTTCTTTCTCACTCACAAACTTACTCAAGTCTGGATCAAGATGTGATTTGCTTAAGCAACTACTGGCACCCTGTCAAAGACTGTACTAGTATCTTGAGCCTTCTTTTTCAACGCTCCAGTGAGCAGCTGCCTGTTTAATGTCTCAAAGTGCCATTTTGGGTGAGTGCCTGTGATTTATGAGAAAAGTTTATGATCGGGAAAGAGGTGACACGATTAGTTAAAATTGATTATGGTCATCCTAAAATAAGTAAACTGTCCAAAATGCAAATATAAAATATGCTTAGAAATATTAAATAAATAATAATTAATACAATAATGTATTTTAGAAAAATATTTATATGTTTGATAAGTATATGCAATACACATATGAAATAAAATAGACAAAGGATAACAAGTTCTAAATATATAAAGATAAATGCTAAATAATCAAGCTTTTCCCTGATTGCAAAACTCTATAGGACAGCTCTACACATTTTCTCTGCAACTTCATGTGTATCTATTTTTCAACAAATAATTAATCTGATTCAGGAAATGCTGGTAGCAAATGCACTAACAATGAACATGATCTTTAGGTTGAAATATAAAACTCAGTTGGATTTGGCACAGAATTTAAGAAACTGGGGTGACAAGGCTGAGCAACCGCCCTGTTCTCACTTCTTAGCTGGCCAAACTCCAGCTGTTCTCCTCAAGTTCTCCATTTCTCTTACAATGACTTAAATCAGAATTCCTTCGTGCTCACATGCTGACAAAATTGCTCCTCATGATTTAATGGATTAGCAAAGATAATTCAAGCCAAGGGGTAAGAATGGTGAAGAGTGCTTGTTAATTAGGCAGGAAATTTACTTACGAATGAACTAATATAAATTAACAGGTGCCATTTATGCACTATGCATATAAGCTTGGTAAAAAAGAGATTTTAACCAGCATTGCCCAGAGCTATCAAACATATGTTCAGCAATAATGGTGATTAAGTGAGTGCTAATACAGGTCTTTTCTGCATTTCATGTCCTTTGTGATTGCCAAAACTTTGCGTGATCAGGTGTGTGGTTGACATGTACCCCAAAACTATGTCCTCTTCTATATTTCATTCAAATTACACCCATACACATCAAATCTTGTAGAAAGAAGGGAAATTCCTATGAATATTGAAAGAAACCTGTAGCAGATAGAAGAGACCTGAACCTCAGAGATATTTTGACCAAAGCAACATAAACAAGGTTTCTTGTTTTAAGAGAAAGAAAGCAATGGCACGTGAAAAGATAGTTCAGATTCAGGTGCTAATTGCAGATACATGGGGAGGCCTGAAGAGGGACGTAATCAAGAATTTTTGGCAGGCAAAATGAAGAAAAACTGGCACTAGGGACTGGATCTTCAGTGCATTGTATTCAGGCACGGTGAATAATTGGTCCTATCTCCTTAATAACAATGCAGTCACCAGATTCCATATGCCTGCACGTGCCTTTATTATTAGAGCAAACCGGCTGCAGGCCTCTGTTAGGAACTCGGCCAGCATGCTGGATGGAACATTAATCAGGAGAGCCCTTCTGCACACCTTACTGCAAACAGGCAACAACAAAAATAGCAAAATTTATTTCTGGTTAGACTGCAGCGTAAATTGTTAGTTCCAAATTGTAAATTGTCAGAACCTGAATTTAGCACCCAAATCTCAACAGAGTACAGACAGAGGAATGGTCATCCACAGTTTCCCCCCAGCTTCTTCTATCAGAGACATTTTCCTCGTCAAAATGTTAGTTGTGGCTTTCAGTTCCTGCTGAGTAGAAAAATTATCCTCTCCTTCACCCCTCTTGAACAAACAGTTCTTTCATCAGAAAAGATTGTTCCCTGACCAACATCCATGATCCTTAATTTATTATCTCTGCTCACCTCTCAAATATTGAGAATTATGGACAGGCCCGTTAGAGATTGTTACAGGTTAAGGCCTCTATGTGTGAGCCACTGAGAAAATGCTTAAACCAAGCTTGCTCAATCTGGGGCTAATGGGCATTGCATCTGAGGATTATGAGAGTTTTAATCCTAAATTTATGGAGAATGCCAACTTTGATTTCTGATTGTAATCTGCAAGTGTGAAAAGGGGATTGGGAAAACTCACATTACACAATGTGATGTAAAATATATCTTTGGAATTTTTTTTAAAAATGGATGACAAATTGACACCTACTAAAACCAGGCTAACAGGCATGGTTCCAGATACCAAGGCTGCAAAGTTAGCCAGATACCTTAGTCTCCATTCCAGAAAGCTGTGGACATCATATCCTTTCATAGTCCCTAGTTTCAGATTCTAGTCAGCCAGTCCATGGTGATTACTTGAACTGTTCTCAGGAAATGATCATCCATCAAGTGGGACAATGTGTCGGTCTGATAGAGAGCAAGTCAAATAATTGAAACTTACTTACCAGTAATATTGTTGGCAGAAGAAATATTTCTACACTGTTCATCACCAATAGAAGCAGCAGCTAGGTTGAACCAGAAGAGAATAACCTGGGTAAGAAGAAAAGACAGATGGCATTAGTGGCTGCAGGGGAGTAGAGTCAACTCTCAATAGTCAATTGAGATCAACTTTTTGCATCTTATTGGGTTCCAAATTGGCTGAAAATTCAAAAAGCTGTTGTTGCAACAGATCTGGAGGACACCAAGCTAGAGAAGCTTAGCTGAAGTGTGAGGCATGGACAGCTCATCCATAAAAGTGAAGTGATGCTTAGAAATAACAGGACTAATATAGAGAAGCAGAACTGCACAGAATAGAAGATAATAGTCACAACTTTTTCACACTTTTGGAACTGAGGTGCTCAGTATTGTAAATATGAAAGGGAACATTGCCAGATTTACTTTTAAATTTATGAAGGTGACAGTTTGCAAAAAACAAACAAACAAACCCAATAAGAATGTTTTAGCTTTCTTGGCATATCTTGATTGCTTTGGCAAACAATCGAGAACTTGTCATTCATCAAATATTGTCAAGTACTAAGAATGTCTTTACATGGCATATATCAACTATTGTCAAATATCAGCTCATCACATACAAAAATACCATGCAGAGACAGCTGTATCTTATGTTGAGGGACAATGAATTCTCTGTCCTATTTAGGTTGCAATCTTATATAAATTTATTTGGGCATAATCTTAATGGAACTTGGTGAAATTTATTTCTGAGTAAATATGTACAAGATTACTAAATTACAGCATTGATTTTCCCTGCCTAACAAGTCTTCAAAAGGGAGAAAGAACTTTTTTTTTACAAAAAAATGGGAGCTTGTTTCTACAATTGTCATATTTCTACTTTTGCTATCATCATTATCAAAATCATTGTTTATAAATTCAAGAGTCGCCTTATTAGTTTATACTAGAAAAATACTGTGTGCAGCATCTTCTTTTCTCCAATCATTAAGCAGATGCCTCAAGAAACCTATGAATCCTTTGAACTAGATAAGTGGTCCAGTTTCATCCAATAGATATACCTTTTGCTGACTCAAGACACATTCTGGCTCATATGGGATTTTTTTGCAGTCCATTCCCTTTTTCTATGCTTTGCTTTCAGCTACTGCAATATAGCTGTGAACATGGCAGAAAAAAAGATGGCAAAAGGATGCTGAGACAGAATCCCATCAGTGGATGGGCATAACTGTAGCTCACAAATAGGGCCAATCCTTCCAATAAATCCTATGTTTGAACATGGCTAATTTGGATAAGATTGGGAAAGATGTTTTTCAGAAGAACTGTCTCCCGAATATCAGCAAAATAACTTTGAAGGGACTAGTGGTTTAAGTTAGTAGGATACAAAACAGTCTTCTGTGTAATTGCAAACATCTTTATTTAAGGGAAATGTTCACCAGTGTTTTCATTGTATGTAAGCGAAAGCTGGTTTTGTTCCATCTTTCAAGGCAGGGAGTGATACCTTGTAGATCTATCACAGTAGTGAAAAGCACAGATGTCAAGTATTTAAAAGGTGAGAACATATTTGAGTGTTCAGAAAATGCAAGCTTTCAATACTGTTAAATATAATTTTAGAGGGAGGACTAGAGGAGGAAAATGCCAAGTTATTATGGAGAATTAATTTGGAGAAAGATAATAAAGAAGAATTTACAATAACGTTCCAAATATTTCAGAGGGTGAAATGACTGAAAATGGCTGCATGCATCCACAAAAAAAAAATTGATTAAAATATTAGGGAAAATTAGGCTAACATCATATTGAAATTTTAAGGCGTATTTAAGATTTTAAAAGAGCCGAGGTGGTGCAGTGGTTAGAGTGCAGTACTGCAGCTACTTCAGCTGACTGCTAGTTCAGCAGATCAGTGGATCAAATCTCACCGGCTCAAGGTTGACTCAGCCTTCCATCCTTCAGAGGTGGGTAAAATGAGGATCCAGATTGTTGGGGGAAATATGCTATTTAGTATACTGTCTATGGTGTAAGCCGCCCAGAGTACTCGGAGAGTAGGCGGCATAATAATAATAATAATAATAATAATAATAATAATAATAATAATAACAACAACAACAACAACAACAACAACAACAACAATAATAATAATAATAATAATAATAAATAAGATTTAGAAGGGATACATAAATGTTAGTGTTAAAAGATGGAAAGCAATTCATTCAACCTTTTATTTTTTTAGATTTATAGCCCAAATTTCCCCAAGAAACCCAAGGTACTATGCATACATTTGCTCCTCTAATTTTTCCTTTACAATAACCCTATGACATAAAAATTGATTGAAAAATCATGAAAAATTATCTAGTGAACTGCAACCTTCTTGGGGCTATTCCAGTACCAGTGAGATAAAGGGTGAAGAGGGAAAAAAACCCTATACTGTACTTGTGATGTGTTATGAGGCTAGATTATGTTCAAAAATAATAAATTATGATTTATTATCTGGAAGAGATGGTGGTAAGTAAAAATCAGGAATCTCTTCAGAATTTAGCTTGAGCTGAAAAAATTAATAGCCATTAAAGGGAGGAGTTGATGAAAAGAGCCTTGGTAGTACAGTGGTCTAAGGCACCCTGTTATTAAGCTGGTTTTTAAGACCAGCTGCCTGCAATTACTGCAGGTTCGAATCTCGCCAAGGCTCAAGGTTGACTCAGCCTTCCATCCTTTCTAAGGTAGGTAAATTGAGGACCCAGTTGTGGGGGCAATAAGCTGACTTTGTATAAATATACAAAAGGATGAAAGCTATTGCTGAGCACATTGTAAGCCGCCCTGAGTCTCCAGAGAAGGGCAGCATATAAATCAAATTTTAAAAAAAATCTTCTATATAGAGCCAGCAAAAAAAGGTAAAATTAACCAAACATTTACAAAAGAAACAGAAGGTTTTTTTTCCCCCTAATAGAAGTGATGTCATCGGTTATCAAGTTGGTATCGACTCTAAGTCACCACATAGACCTACCTTTTTCGGAATGATCTGTTTCCAACCTATCCTCAGATCTTCTAAGGATGTACCCATTACTACTGTAATTCAATAATTCCATCCCCCTTACTGCTTATTGTCCTCTTTCCCCCCTCCCTTTCCTTCCACCTTTCATGGCATTCCTAAGAGAGGTGGGCTTTTGCCTAATGTATCCAAAAAAAATTTGAGGCTGTCACTTGTCCCTCAGGTGAGAACCAAGATTTGATTTATTCTATGACTCATTTGTTTGTTTTTCTGAGTAACCATGGGATTTTAAGCAGTCTTTTCCTACATGAAAGTTCAAGAACATTTAAACTTTTTCTATCCTGCTTTTATAAAGTCTAATTCTTTCGTTTCATATAGTGTCATGGGAAAAACCATGCACAGTGCCTGTGCAATTCTCAACTGTATCAGTAGAGACACATTACATCTCTTTTCCAAGGCCTTCATTGCTACTCTGCCAAGCAGTAATTTCCAATGTATTTCTTGGCTGCTGCTTTCTTTATGACAGTCCTAAAAGACAAAAATTCTCCATCATCCTGTCAGTTTTAACAATGGTTGCTATCTTGTTGTTAGTTTGGTCTTAGTCTCTTCCATTGATTTTCATCACTACAGCCTACAAATCATACATATATATGTTTTCTTTTCTTTTCGTAGGCCTTTATGTGTATTTCTCTTTAGCCAGGTTCTTCCTACGTAAACCAAGATTTTTAGCAGCCCTAGTTCAGTGAAATCACAATCCACTAGTTTCTAGGCTTTTTTTCAGGCAGCCAGCAAGCACCCTGCTGCCCATTGGGAGACTAAGGAGACTAAGATAGATCTATTTCGGACTTATTAGTCTGAAATTATTATTATAATAATAATTATACACATAAAGGCCTACAAAAAGAAAAGAAAACAAATACTGTACCTTTACAGGGAGGATACATGGGATGAGGATGTGGCTAACTGATGAGGACTAATAAGTCCGAAATAGATCTATCTTAGTCTCCTTAGTCTCCCAATGGGCAGCAGGGTGCTTGCTGGCTGCCTGAAAAAAAGCCTAGAAACTAGTGGATTGTGATTTCACTGAACTAGGGCTGCATAAAAATCTTGGTTTACGTAGGAAGAACCTGGCTAAAGAGAAATACATATACACAAGAAGAGCATATGACGGCCGTAGCCAGGAGGACTTTTTATCAGGTTCGCCTGATTCGCCAGTTGCATCCCTTTCTGAATCGGGACTCGTTACGCACGGTCACTCACGCCCTTGTCACCTCACGCCTGGATTATTGTAATGCTCTCTACATGGGGCTCCCCTTGAAAGGCACCCGAAGGCTCCAACTGGTCCAGAATGCAGCCGCGCGGGTGGTAATGGGAGCAATGTGGCGCTCTCATGTAACCCCCCTCCTGTGCGAGCTGCACTGGCTCCCAGTGGTCTTCCGGGTGCGCTTCAAGGTTTTGGTTACTATCTTTAGAGCGCTCCATGGCTCAGGACCAGGGTACTTACGAGACCGCCTCCTGCCACCAATAGCCTCTCACCGACCAGTTCGGTCCCATAGAGAGGGACTCCTCAGGGTGCCGTCGGCCAAACAATGTCGACTGACGGCCCCCAGGGGGAGAGCCTTTTCTGTGGGGGCACCTACCATCTGGAACGGGCTTCCCCCGGAGTTACGAAACATCCAAGACTTACGCATATTCCGCCGTGCCCTGAAAACATTTCTATTCCAACAAGCTGGTCTGGCCTAACTCTCCCTTTTTAATTGGCTTTTAAACTGGCTTTTAAATTGGGTTTTAAACCTCTTTAGATAAATTTGGATGTTTTTTAATCTTTGAGCCTAAATTACTTAATCTGTTTCTTAATAGTTTTTAACTTCTATATGTATTTTGTATTTATTATGGCTGTTCACCGCCCTGAGTCCTTCGGGAGTAGGGTGGTATGCAAATATGAAATATATATATATATATATATATATATATATATATATATATGTATGTATGTATGTATGTATGTATGTATATATATATATACACACACACACACACACACACATATATGCATATATATACTAGTCTCCCTTTATTTTTTTATAAATTTATATATTTGCTTTAT